GCCAATGTCAACTCTTGATAATGCTGTAGAGGGCGTAGGAAGATCAAACAAGTACAGTATGCAGCATACTAAACTACTTATATAACATATAAAATAAAACTAGCTTTCCGCCCGCGGCTTCGCCTGCGCGGAATCTTGTCTGTCACAGAAAAGCTTTATCGCGCGCGTCCCTGTTTCAAAAACCGGGATAAAAACTATCCTATGTCCTTTTCCCGGGACTCAAACTATCTCTATGCCAAATTTCATCAAAATCGGTTCAGTGGTTTAGGTGTGAAAGCAAGACAGACAGACAGAGTTACTTTCGCATTTATAATATTAGTATAGATAGCACAGTCCTACGACATAAGATGCGCCAGTGTTTAGCTTAATGTGCTCTCGTGTGTACAGTCAGTGTCAAATACATAGTTCGAGACCGAGACACCCAAAGTGGCCAAAAAGTTTACAACAACCGTATTCCAATTTATTGGGATGTTGACTGGGTAATGAAATTGAAATTCTATTTAGTCCGTCAGATAGATAATAAAAGAATATTGGACACGTATTTTGGATTTTTTTTTCGTAATCGAATCTTTTGAGTAAAAAATCTACTGCGTGAGTGAGATAATGCACCATTTCAACTCTATTTAGTACTGCTGTTTATTCAATTATGAAAGAAAATAAAAAACGAGTCTAATATTTTCTGTCTGTCAGACAGACAGACAGAAAATATTAGACTCGTTTTTTATTTTCTTTAAATAATTTTGTCATCTAGCCTATTGTATGTAAGGCCGTATACAGAAAGAAACTTGTCAGCGCTGGTAACCCGCGCAGGAAAATATACAGGGTGACAGGTAAAGCGATACATTCCTTGAAAGGGGTTAAAGTAGAGTTTATTTGCAGTCATTTAAGTCATATGACACCATGTCCGAAACTTGTTCATTTCCAAGTTATTCAAAATTTAAGTATTTTTTAAAAAATCTCCAGTTTTTATGTTAAAATGTACCCTTGTAATGAAGAATACTATACTAATAATATATATACCTACTAATAATGTTAACTTTTTTGTTGTATTCGTATAGCTAAATAATAAGATTGACATTTTAAATTAAAATTTGCAAGAAAGAATCGTCATTACTCAAGTAAAAGCTAAAAAGCCATGTATCATAAAAACTGGAGATTTAAAAAAAAAAACTTAAATCTTGAATAACTTGGAAATGAACAAGTTTCGGACATGGTGTCATATGACTTAAATGACTGCAAATAAGCTCTACTTTAACCCCTTTCAAGGAATGTATCGCTTTTCCTGTCACCCTATATAAACGCGCGCCTTTTTGGCTACTTCGGGTGTCACGAACTATTTGACGCTGACTGTACTCGTACATGTGCTTCCTTGTGGATGGGGCGTGTGGGTTCTAGTGCGGTATGCGGTAGGCATGTGACAGGAGAAATAATACCGGAACCGTTTACGATCGGTATTTTCGAAACCGGAATCATGGTATCAGTTGCAACGACAGTTTTACGGTACTTTATAATAACGTTAAATTATGTGAAGACATCATAAAGGTAGCAGGAAGCGCTGGACGCAGGCTTATTGCTACCAACCGGGTAACATGGAAAGTAATGGGGGAGGCCTATGTCCAGCGGACGTCCTATGGCTGAGATGATGATGACGATGTGAAGTGTTTTTATATGTACTCGAAAGTGATTAATGAAGATTTTCTAATTATTTTCATAGCAGCTACAAGTTATAATCATGCCTTTTAAGTAAATATTGTGGAATGCAGGAAAACATCAGAGCAAGTTTTTTAAGAGTCAGGAAAATTACAATAACGATCAAGTAATAAATAAGCATTCTGTATTTATTAAATGCTTTGAATTAATATTTTCTTTAGAAATATCGATGATTTCTTACACTTTAGAGATTTGATGTTGTGTGTTGCAATTGGTAATTCGACAGACACATTAAACTTCGATTGATTAATTTTGTCGCGGGTTCAATGACAGTTTAACTTTTCGGGACAAACTGACTTGTTGGGTTTTTATTGGCGGTCAAGCTGTAGATTTTGACTACACAGGAGTTGCAGCGGTGGGAACGAAAGGTGGAAATAGTTCCGAATACATTAACTGTCAAGTGCCAAAAGCTGTACTGAGTTATGAGTTTAATAAATTTTATAAGAATAATCTCATAGCTGTTATTTCTTATTGCGTCATTACTAAGAAGGGATTGAGCTATTAGTATTACAATAATGGATTTCCCGATCCGTCAAGATGTCAAGATACAGTTCGCAAATAACATAGCAGCACCCCGACGATTAATGGTGACGTCTTATTTTACATACGTGACACCAGAGGCGTTGTTAACCTGTCCAGTGCGTTTCCATTGCCGTGGCCGAGACAAAAACCGGGAGTTGACGTAGTAATCCGAGAAAAAAATGGGAGTTGCCGTATTAAGCCGAGAAATAAACGGGCGACTCGAGCACAAAACTTCTTAAATTCTGGATCGTGTTATAAAATCAGTGCACTGTGCAACCATGCAATATTTTTGTGCATTAAACTTAAGTGGTTGCACTCAATATTAGTGTATGAGCTTATAGACTGTTTTATATGATGGAAGATTACTATCGAACAATGATATTATCTTGGTACGAGACTATTACCACCTCGTTCCCAAAGCTGCAACTCCTATTTAGCCAGGATCTACAGCTTGAGCGCCAATAAAAACCCAACCAGTGTAAGTCTTGATACGACAAAAATCAAAATAAAGAATTGAAAAATGAAATAAAAAATCTAGACCAAAAACTTATTAGATCGTATTTCTGTATCTTATTTAATGCTTCTACTTTTCTTGATTAGCATAAATCGACTTATTTATCGGATGAATTTCTCAGTGGAAACGTATTCGCAAGACACGATCTGCCGCCACCAACGATCCTAATGGCTTCAAATTATAAGTATTACACCGGGGATCGTTACTTCCTTACCATCTTCACACTTTCCGAGAACATGTCAAGGGGAGGACTGCTTTGGGTGTATTTGTTTTTGATAAGAATTATCCTGTCGACTTATGTTTTTTGATAACTTTGTTATCATGGCATGACTTACTTATTAAGACTGGGTTGCACCATCTTACTTTAATTTTAACAAACGTCAAAAATTTGTCAAACTACACACAAAAAGCACCGGTCAGTTATAGTTACGGTTAAAGTTAGGTGGTGCAACTCAGCCTTAGCCTTTATCTAGTGGTGGCAGGATTGATGCTTCCTTTTAAGATTTTGAACTTAAGAGGGATAAGATAATTTTTTTTTTTCTCTACACGCCATTTTATCGATTTTACGCGATAAGCCCATACATTTGTCGTTTAAAATAATCGATAAGATTTTATCACGGCGTGCATCCTAGCCCAGCTGGTGAGGGGTTAAGATCTTTTTCAAAAAACTTGTTGTCTTCGGAGATTAGATTACATATTAGAATTAGTTTATAGTATAAGTACATGTTTTATTCTTATAGTACACCTTTAATGGTTAACTGTTATTAATACACGGACAGCATCTGGAGTTCTATATATGGTTTGTGGAAACATCTGGGTCGAGATCAAAGAATTGACCCATTTTAGTCTTACTTACGCTCTATTTGTAAGTATCGAATGTCTTGAAGATACGATAATGTACTGCATTTGCGATTCACACGTTCAATCCCCAGTGGGTATCTATTAAGTTCCTATTATAGAAATAAGGAAACCATCACGTACCTATACACGCTTCCTCTTATTTCCTTAAGTGAATGTTACAAAAGACCTTTATCGTAACTCGCCTTTAAAATTGTTGTTAGGTTGTTGCCAGAACAGTAATTGATTCTGCATGACCTGTGGTACCATCTACCTCGTTCCACGCATCAACTTAAAATTGAATCTTTGTTATTCAATCATAAAGTTGTATGTCGTATGTGAAGTTACGATGTTGTACCTGGATTACTTAGTAATTGTAAACGTCGCCTAGTACATGCGTTTCCTAATGCGTCAATTAGTCGTATTGTGATAATAAATTGTTATGCAACCAGCGATTTGCATGTTATTATGCGGCAAGGTAATGTAACGTACCTGCAGGCAATAGTAAGTGCAGATAGGGTTGCCAGGTGTCCGGCTTTTTAGGGTCTTTTCCGGCCAAATATTGTGTTGTCCGACCTGTCCTTGGCTGGCTTTTGTTAGGCTTTGTGCTGGCTGCCGCGCCAGTCCAAACTCGAGCCACAGAATGTAATAATGTTCATTCAAAGATGATAGTACCTAGTACCCATTCATGAGCTATGACGCTAATTGCACCCTCCCCTCCCTCCCCCCCGTGACATGGTACGTTAGCTATTAAAAGGGTATGTCCGGCTTTTGGGGTAAAATGTCCGGCCAAATGAAGCACAGAGTCCGGATTTTGTGTTTTTGGACCTGGCAACCCTAATGCAGATAGATAAATGTGTGCAGACTGCAGACGCAATTTATCGATAAGTATATCGATGCATATCAGCTTGCGACGATTAAGCAACACGCGTACGCTTGTAGTTGTCATCTTGAGAAATGAGCAAGCAAATGTGCAAATTATTTGTTCATCAATATTTTTGAATAGCAGAACAGCCATCAGAATAGAAACAAAAGGTTGTAAGCAATATCTGTGTTATTTTCTTAAAAATGCAATCACTTTAATAGCACTTGCATCAATATTCTGAAATGTATTTTTAAAATTAGACCAAAAAACATTTGCGTCATTTATGTTTCACGCAAATGTTTTTTTTTGTAATTGTCATGGTTTTTTATTAAATTTTGTTACTTAGAATAACTTTATCTGTTTCTGACTATACAAAAATGTGAGTTGGGTCACCTGGTGTCAAGTAATCATAACCGCAGCGCCTTGAAACATCTCTAGAACCAATAACTATCTCTGTTTAATTCAATATTTGACGACATCTATCTGATATCGGATACTGCCCTTCTTTCCTTTAAATCCGCCAACAGTCTAGTAATTAAGTTTCTTTTCTCTTTCACAGGCTAAATCAGAGGAGCAGCTGGCCTGCGAAAAAGAATGGCTGCAAACCGGCCACATGTGGCTGGCACACCGCGGCGGTTTCACAGCGGTCGTCAGAGAGGGCGACGCAGACCCTGGCCGGGCGAAAGTCCGCGTCATACAGACTGGGGAGGTGCTGACCGTTGATGAAGATGATCTGGAGAAGGTAAGTTTCTTAGATTCAACCTACCAAATAGCCATTTATAGCTGGCGCATGTGACATATTCACAAAGGTCGCGAAGATCCACGTTGTTCAGACAGTGGATCAATAGCCTGCGAAAAAGAATGGTTGCTGACCGGCCACATGTGGCTGGTGCACCGCGGCGGTTTCTCGGCGGTCGTCAGGGAAGGCGACGCAGACCCCGGCAGGGCGAAGGTCCGCGTCATACAGACTGGAGAGGTCCTGACCGTTGACAAGGATGATCTGGAGAAGGTAATAGCATCGCTTATAATGGTCGGCAGTGTCTTTGTAACTAGGTGAGTTCTGGCAAGTCCAAGCAAGTTCACAGACTGCAGTAGGGCATAGGTCCAAGTCATATAGACTGAAGAGTTAGCAATTGGCCGCGTGGCTTCACAGCGGTCGTCAGGGAGGGCGACGCAGACCCTGGCCGGGCGAAAGTCCGCGTCATACAGACTGGGGAGGTGCTGACCGTTGACGAGGATGATCTGGAGAAGGTAACTTTCTTAGGTCATAGCTAGCAAAGGTTGCGAAGGTTCACGTTATTCAGACAGTGGATCGAGACCTGATCGTTATCGAGGATGCTTTATAGAAGAAGTCTTGTTCAGATTATGGGTGGGCCATTGTTTATTTGTGGCTGCCGCACAACATCACGGAGGTCTTCACTGCACTCAGAAGATCGCAGGTCCGCGTCTTAAAGACAGGCCGTGGAAGGTAACTTGCTCATAGCAAACCGGCCATATATCTGCGTCATACAGACTAGAGAGGTACTGACCGTTGACAAGGATGATCTGAAGAAGGTAACTTTCTTAGGTCATAGCTAGCAACTGGTCATTTGACGCGAGGAAAGGTCGCGAAGATCCACGTTGTTCAGACTGTGAATCAAGACCTCTTGATTGATATCGGGGATGATTTGAAGAAGGAATATTGCTCAGATCATGGTTAGCAATTGGACATTTGTGGCTGACGCACGTGACATGATCACAGGTCCTTAAAGACTGACGGTAGAAGGTAACTTGCTTAGAATAGTTAGTAACTGGCCACATGTGGCCTGGCGCACGGCGGCGTCGCGAAGATTCACGTTATTCAGATTTCAGATAGCTTGTTCAGGTTTTATAGCAAGCAACTGGCCATTTGTGGCTGACGCATATTATGATGTATTGACAGAAGTCATCAGGTCGTCGAAGATCTAAGTCATACTGATGAGGTCTTAACGAAGTTGTGTTTTCATTGCTTACTCAAATACCCATTTCTATTTTTCCAGGCGAACCCTCCTCAACTGGAGCGCTGCGAGGACATTGCTTCTCTCCGCTGCCTCAACGAGTGCGGAGCACTGCACGTGCTTCGGTCCCGGTACGCGGCCGGTCTGCCACACGCTCGTGCTGGCCACGCTTTGCTAGTGCTAGGGCCTCCTAGGCGCACTGCTCCTGTGTACACCGAAAAGGTAAGATTAAAATGACAACTGATTGGTTGATGACTTCGCGTCACTCTACTGCCTAAATAAAAATGGATGCTTTCACTCCAACGCTGTGCTGGCCAGTCAGTCAGCCGGCCGTCTAATTCCGGCAAAGTAGAATAAGACCATCTCCACTCCACTCTTCCCGTGGATTTCGAAAGAGGCAGCTAGGGAATATGCAAATACTTATGAGGTTTTCCCAACCAGATATTATTTAAGTTTCAATCGTGCTGTTTCCCACTCTTTCCGTAGATGTCGAACTTGAAAGTTTTAATCTGTTCAAATTCAAACGTATCATTCCAGGTGGCAGCCATGTTCCGCGGCTGCCGCGCCGACGACATGCCGCCGCACGTGTTCGCCGCAGCGCAGTCTGCTCACCGCTGCATGCTCGCTTCTAGACGGGACCGCGCCGTGGTCTTCCTTGGAAGGTGGGTTTAGTTTCTAGTTCTTCGTCAGGTGGCAGCCATGTTCCGCGGCTGCCATATTCACCGCTGCATGCTCGCGTCTAGGAGAGACCGCGCCGTGGTCTTCCTTGGAAGGTGGGTTCAGTTTCTACTAGTTCTTCGTTAGGTGGCAGCCATGTGTTCGCTGCCGCGCAGTCTACTCACCGATCCATGCTAGCGTCTAGGAGAGACCGCGCCGTGGTCTTCCTCGGTAGGTGGGTTCAGTTTCTACTAGTTCTTCGTTATATGGCAGCCACGTGTTCGCTGCTGTGNCGCTGCTGCGCAGTCTGCTCGCCGCTGCATGCTCGCGTCTAGGAGAGACCGCGCCGTGGTCTTCCTTGGAAGGTGGGTTTAGTTCCTACTAGTTCTTCGTTAAGTGGCAGCCATGTGTTCGCTGCTGTGCAGTCTGATCACCACTGCATCCTCGCGTCTAGGCGAGACCGCGCCGTGGTCTTCCTTGCCAGGTGGGTTTNGCTTTTTTGCTCGACTTGGTGGGGGCACTGCCGTGCCCCCAGATACTGACTGACAAAACAGTAGTTAATGGTATTCAAGTGGACTAATGCAGCCCGCAGTAGGAATGCCGAGAATTCCCGCCAGGCCTGAAACGTAGGAACGTTTGTCTCGACAGGATTTACCGTGGCAGCTAGGGTTGCCAGGTGTCCGGCTAATAGCCGGACATGTTTGGCTTTTTACAGTCTTGTCCGGCCAAATATTGTCTTAAATCGAGCCATAGAATAATAATATGAAGCGCACGCATCAGTACCTCTAGTAGGAAAAACTTTCGAGTTCGTTTCGTTGCGTATTCAAAGTGTCATCGAAAAATTTTGTATGAAAAATTAAACAGCGCCCCCTATATTATAGCCGCCCTAGGGGGCGCTGTTTAATTTTTCATACAAAATTTTTCGATGACACTTTGAATACGCAACGAAACGAACTCGAAAGTTTTTCCTACTAGAGGCACAGGATGTTGGGCGACCGATGATGATAGTACTCACTCGTGAGGTATGACACTAATTGACTAATTGCATCACATGTCCGGCCAAATGAAGCACAGAGTCCGGCGTTTGTGTTTTTGGACCTGGCAACCCTAGTGGCAGCGCGATAATTACCGAACTGGATGTCGGGGGTTTAGCTTACACCGCTACAAAATAGTTCTGAATCTTAAATCTGACTACTGCACATTAAGGTTTTAGAATCGAACAGGATTTGCTTGTTGTGGAATTTGTCATCGATCGCTTATCATTGTAGCGTTTGTTTATAACCTCAACTGCCTGCTGTGGATAAATAGTTCCGACCCAAAGACCCCGAGTTCGACTCGCACAGGGGGCAACATTTTTTACTGGTTTTGGATGGTGGTAAGGCTTGTCCTTACTCCGTTAGCTACCGCCATCCTACCCTACATAAGTCTACCTAAGTCTGTTGCCATAGCTTTAATGCTGACAGCATTGTTGAGTTTCGGAGGTAAAATAACCAGTTCCTCTGTATTGAGAATTCCGGGTGAAGCTAGCTACCACCTTTTCCTGATCATCATTTCCATCAGGGCAAGAGCTTTTCCGTTGTTGGCAAAAGAAGCAAAACATTTGATATTGATTCGTGATCCGAAATAACCAAATAGAACTATAATTACTAGACCAGTACTAGTAATTTACTCAACTTATGTACTCATAATGAGAGTCTTCATGATGAACCTTAACCCAATAGCAAGGGTCAGGGCTTACGACAATAGGTGCTAATATCAAACGCATACGGCGCTTCAGCTGTTAACTCTCCCTGTGCAAATTATACAGGTGACAGCACATCAAGGTAGATAATATGGTACTATGTATTGTGGACTGTACATAATGACTATGCACATGATGTAATTAATTTTCTATAGAGTTATTGACTTGTGTGCGGTAGAGCAAAGCATACTGTCAACCAGTGAGCTGCTTAACACTTAATTCACTCAAGCAAAGATGTAATTAGGTTATTTATACATATTAGTTAGACTATAGATTTTTTGCTGCAAAATCGTCCCTCTTAAAACTTTAGTAGATGCCAAATTCAACCTAATGGAGCACTTAACACTTTAGTAGGATATACACTTAAGGCAAATCAAAACATTCAATGAATAAATTACAATTAATCCCTTCATACGATGCAAATAGTCTTAATTTAGCTATTAAACGAACATAATACCGAATCAAAGGCAATCATAACCCAATTTGTAACTTAATCGTAATTTATTCTAACTCTAACTAGGTCGGAGTAACGTAAATACCGAACACCTGCTATGTAATAAATGGAAACATAAAAACCATGGATGTGGGCAGAAGGCCTTATCTGATGCACCAGATTTTGGACCTTGGCTCATGGGAATAAGATGCACCCATGGACGTAGATTACCACATGCATGGTGTAACTGAACTACATGAAGTTTCCGGAGGTTAAAAATAACTGGTTCACAGCATGAGCAAAACTCTCGCCCAAATTCGGCGATTTTTCTTGAAAATGTCTCATATTCTAGCTCGGGCGTATAAAAATCACAATATGTTTTAACTTCTCTTCAGGTTCTCTGAAAGAGATTCTGGCTAATAATAAAAACGTTAGTTTCACTTAGAAACACTGAAAAGTTGTTGAAAAGCTTGTTTTATTGAAATATTTTCATTTTCATTTGATGGCTAAAACTAGCAAAAACCTTTGGGTAACTAAAACTTTTGAGGTCATGTTATGCCAATTGCTACATTTAGATATTTACGAGTAAGTTTTATGACTTGATTGTTCTGATCGAACAGACGAATATTAGAAAACCTCTTACGGTCTAAACACATCAAATTCATACCATAATGAGCTAGGATTTATAATCAAACGTTTAGGGTACCGCCATTGGTTATATTATATCTTAGTTAATGTTCGTATATGGCTTTTAATGTAGTACGGTGACCTTCAAAGATATACCTACGAGTATTAATCTAACATAAATTATCCGGTTAGGTCTTTGATTTAAAATTTTGTGTTACTTTACCTAACGTGGCATTTTGTTTGAACTATTTTGTATTATTTATTGCTGTATCTTTTAATACGTTTTCCATATCCATATTAAGATTGATGAAGTCATTATTTTCTTTACTAAAAGTTATAGGCACATACAGCTGTAAATTTCTTTTATTTTCTTTGTTATTAGAAGTATAATATATCCTTAAATATCTTATAATTTTATTATTACAATTATTAGCTGTGGTCGCTTTTTCTCATTATTTATTGATTACAATTATCTGCTAGCAAGTCATCAAAATAAATAATAGTGTTCCGTAGTATTGTTTACTGTTGTATCATTGTCCCATTTCCAATACTTCATTTCAAGTTGAACACTAACACCTTAAGTAGTTGTATTAGTGACTATTTTGCAACTAAAATATACATCTGATGACTGTACCAAACCACCGCTATGACTATCTCCTATCGTAAATTCCGAATCGGCAATCTATGCAAACAAAACAATTCCTAATCTTGCAACTTTACAATCGCCATTTGGACATAAAGTATCTGCATTATCGCTAATAGTCGCGACTGTGGCATTTTCCTCCANTTCCTCCGCTACTGGAGTTACAATTGCTTCACACTTGCGATTAGTCGCAGTGTTTTCAAAAGAAAAGCCAACTTTTACGTTACTTGTTTGTACTTTTACGTTATGCCGGGCGATTTTACGCTCGTATGAGTTTTGGGTATTATGTAAGTGCACTACTTGTAATGGAAATAAGAGAAAACTTTTAAATATTATTAGTGTGGTACTGGTAAGATTGAACACACTTTATTGTACACTAGCGGCCGACCGCGACCCCGTTTCCCCTTAGGGGTTGAATTTTGTAAATCTCGCCGTAAAACCTCCTTGGACTTCAAAGAACATTAAAAAAAAGAATTTATTGGTAAATTGGTCCAGGCGTTGTTGAGTTATGCACTTACCACATTTTGTGATTGATTTTTATATTATACTCGTATGGTAAGATACACAAGACAAGAAAAATAAAGAAACACAGATACAAAAGATATGGTACAATTTAGGTGGTTTTATCGCTTGTCTTCCAAGTTTCAAAATTATAACTTTAGTCAGTATAGTCTCACGTATTATGCTTCAACCACATCAACGCATGCAGATCATAGGGAAATGACAGGTCACGGGAACTGTCATGGGTCGCGCGACCTGTCATTAATTGGTCTTTGATCGCGCCGATGGCGATCTGCACGCGTCGGTGTGGTTGAAGCTTTAGTCCTGTTTGTAGGATTTTCATTAAGGAACTATGCTAAATATTCCATCCTCTAAAACCATAACTTTAATGTTTCCTTTAATAGACAATTTCTGCTAACTGTACGCACTAAGGTTCAGAACTGTGTGTTTATTATGAAATGTTGACTATGTTGCATCGAGAATGTGGGCGAGAAACATGAGATTCACTTCCGAAGTTCTGCTTTCATGTTACGATTTTATCGTTGAGTTATGATCGCTTAGTGCTTTGAAGGCTACTACAAGAATTTTATGGGTTATGCTTTTATCGAGATTGAAAACTGTTATTGAATAGAGGAATAAAGCATTTTGAATAGTTGGCACAAAGGCATAAAGGTTTGTTTGCGAAAATTTTGTGCTCAACTTCTAAACTTCTTAGCACATTATTTAGTAAGAGCATCAGAGATAAAAAGTCCTTCAGCTAAATGTGACGCACTGCATAATAACTTATAGGCCTTTAGACTGACGAATATTAATTCATGGAACCTAATTAAAGGAAAACCCATTTTTTCTTGCAAGTAAAAACACAGTTTTTTATTTCTTTGTCTTTCATGGAGTGAACATGTGTAAGTATAGACGTCGACGTCAATCAGTATCAATTAAAATATCATTTTGTAGGCCTTTGCTTGCAGATTCATTATTGAATATTCGCTGTCAAATAGGTACCACCTTTATTAACAACCTGCGTAATACGAGTAAGATGTCTTCTTAATTTTTTCTCCAA